ATCTTTTTGCATATTTTTTTATCATAATTAAGAAAAAGTTTATATGTGGCTTGTACTTGAGATGTATAATATTAGAACAAAACTTATCCAGATATATTTGCTTTTAAAAAATCAATTTAAATTCTTCTTTTATCATCTTTTAATTGTTCATTTAGGGTCCTTTTCTGATCTTTTTCTCATCAGTGTTTTGTATCTCTGTTTAATGTAGGTCTGTTTTTAGTTATACAGTTTGGGTTCATTGGGCTTCTTGAGTGTGAGGCTTACTGTCTTTCAACAGTTTTCTAAAGTTCTCAGCTGTTACCTTTTTAACAGTAGTGCCTCTGTTCATTCCTTATTAATTCCCTTTGGAATCTGATTAGTTTTTGTTACTCAGTCCTCATATCCCCTAACATCATTTTAATAGTTTTCTTTCATTTTTCTATCTCAGATATATTCTGAGTTATCTTACTGTGTTTCTTCTATTTCATTAATTTTCTCTTCAATGACATCTAATTTGGTGCTTAACCTACCCAATGAGATTTTTACTCAGCAATTAAACCTGTTATTTCTATAATTGCCATTTTTCTTCAAAATATGTTCTTTGCTTATACATTCTCATTGTTCCTCTTCATGATTTCATACTTTTGTGTTTTAAACATTTCCTTCATAGCTGTTTTATGTTCTGTATTCAAATGTCTTCAGTGCTTGAAAGTCTAAATTTGTTGTTTATTCATTTTTCTGACCCTCACTTGCCTCCTGCAGTGCTTACTGATTTTTTTAAATGAGAACCATTTACAGATCTTAGTTTGTGGCTATTGTATGACAATGAATTGGAGAATTTTTTTCAAAGAGAAAATTTTGTTCTGCTTTTTGCTAGTGGCTGTAAGGAAGAAAGAAAATCTAAAGCTCATCTACTTCTCTTTTCTGTTGTCCCCAGTTTGAGAGTTCCAATTATATTTTCTCTCATGTCAACTGCACCTTTTTTTTAATGTTCCCTGTTCAAGAAGTAGCTAGTTTCAGATCTTTTCAGTAATTATTTTGGTGTTTACAT